CGGGGTTAAACGCGAGGTTTAAATGATGATGACCCAGGGTTAAGTGCAGTGTGAAAAGCTCTAGAACTGGGGTTAGGACAGTTAGCGGGACTTTGTTAACCTGATATTGCAAGTTGGGATAACTGCAGGCTGGAGCAGTGGGCGTGGCGAAAGGTAGGGGGCGTGGATACAGGTCTTTCTAGTTGGTTAGGGTTTGGGTTCACCTTTCGGCTCGCCACCTTTTGCCACGCCCATTACTCCGACCTGCAGCTACCCTTTATGGCTAGATGCTTAGCAACTGACAGCCAATTGCGTGGCTCATTTTCGCCTGCTTTGGACAGTTACGGAATCACCGCGCGTTGTGTCCGTTAGCGTTTGAGGGGAAAAATGTCAAATGATGACGGAAAATGCGTCAATTAGATTCAAGCTACGATTTTTCTTATCTTCATCGTCCGAAAAGTCCATTCAGGAAAAAATTGATAGTACAGTCGACAATATATGTAGAGACTCTTGAGATGCTCAGAAACCTCTCCTGCCTCATTCTGTTCAGAAACTGAGAAACAAAATAACTACAACACCGTAAATGACCGTAAAAGCGGCATTAACATACAATTTCATGTTATTTAACAGCATATAATTTTATATGCTGAGTCTGTAATCCCAGGAGAGTACCTAAACACGCAATTGTACATTTAAATGCTTACAACTAACCACTATCATAACTATTTAAGCTAACATTAGTTAGCTAGCAATGCTATCTTGTAAACGACATCATAATGGTATTCTTGATAATCGATAACTGACCTTCATAGTCATTAATTGAATATGCACAAAGGGTTGCTAACTTTGGTTGTCTGGCTGGAGTTAGATTGGTTACAGTTGTGCAGTAAAATTCACTTTAAAGATTTACCTTTCATTCAAGAAGATGAAATGAAATTAGCATTATAACCAGTAGATGGCAGCAAAGGATCACTCATTAGCTCAGTTGCCATTTCAACTTCCTTTTTTTCCACGTCTTGCTTTTGGATTCATTATAAAATTACTATTGCAACACATTTATTGTCTTTTACTGTTCTGAAATATAAAGTATAGCAAGTGCAGGAAGTCACAAAGTCTCATGCATTTAAAAAATAAATAAATAATTTAGCCCAGACACCAAGCCTAGAAGGGTTAATTATTTAAATACTTAACGAGTTAACTAAAAATTAAATAAGCTAATTATTAATGGTATAACAATTAAATAATAATGCATTAAATATTTTGAAATATTAGATTTAATTTAAAAATTACATTTGTTAAGTTTTATCTTTAACTGTAGAAGCTGCTAAATACTTTCAGCCAATACAGACTTGCTGGTGTAGTTTTGCACCTCTGAATTTAGTCTAAATCACTTAGTCCACAAGCTTATTTTTGACATCAGCTTGTCAGATAGTTCTTTCCGTCCATTGCTACAGTTATCTTTGTCAATCATAGCAATGACTCGCGGATTCACTTGCGTAATTTTTTACACTCGCGTTTGTCATTCCTGAAACAGTATACGGTAGTATATAGTATACAATCAGTATGGACCATACTTTATGGTCCTCTAGACAAACAAAACTGTAAACAGGTCGCGTGCTGCATTCATCCAGTCAGTGACACTGACAACGCAAATGTGCAAATAAGAACGTTAAATTATGAGCAGTGAAACAAGATAACCTAGGATTATGTTTACCTGGGTTTAGAATGACCCCGGGTTAACTATTTAATGTGTGAAAAGCCCTAATGTCAAAACCAATTAAGACATCTGACATTTTAAAGTGTGTTTTAAGTGTCTAAAGTGTTTTGGGGGCTTCATTAATACCCAAAATATAATTCAAATAATATATTTAATGTGTAAATATTAATGTTAATGTTTCATTAAAGAGCAAACTTTTTCACAAATGATCGAAATGATTGGCCCACGACAACAGTAAGGAAATTGCGGTTTTAAAGATCAGAGGTTCTATAGCTCGTCTTTCACTGATTTTAAATGAAAATGCAAATTTGTTGCATTGATCTGTGACATTATAAGGCCATCGTCTATCTTGTAAGACTTTTTAAAATGTAGAATTTTGCCGTAATTTCTTTACAAACACAAAAACTGGCATAGCACGGTAATATGCAAAGTGCCATATTGAGTCACTCAACCGCTGACAGCCACCTTTGATAAGTATCTCTGATTCATTCTGGGAGATTTAAGCTCAAGTGAATTCGTTCAGGGGATTTCTTCATTACTCAACATCATATTTATTCTCCTCCGCTAACGTGTTTGTTCTACTTCCTCGACCTCCAGAGCAGGTGTGATGTACCTGTGCCAGGTTTTCTCAGACGTCTTCAATTAGGTTATCTACTTGTCAATCTCATTTGACATCATTTGAAACTGTGACCAAAAGACTGAAATCAAATATGCAATTTTTAAAAGAATAGCTCACTTAAAAATTTGCTTGTCATCCCAAACTCTAATTTTGTAGAGTATTTGAGCAGCTGTTTTCCATATAATGAAAGCAAATTGTGATTTTTACCATCAAGCTTCAAAAATGACAAAAAATATAATACAAAATCAAAAATGAGAAGATATTTTTTTTTGTAGTGTAAAATCAGTTCATGCAACGTCCTTAGTATATGGACTCTTTTATTTAAAAAAAAAATGAGATTAAACAAAGTCATGCAAGTCTGGAACATGAGATTTTTGATCTATTCCTTTAAGGAAAAGTTGACATTTGCTGTAAGCTAACTCAACAAAACTCAATAATCAGTTTAGTCCTACTGTATAGTCACTCAGTACAATGTAACACTTTAGCTTAGTCACAACACTGTGCTTAGCCGTAGTGGAAATCAATAGAAACTTTACATTTGCCTTTGGGAATTGAGCTCTTTTCTTCTTCTGAAGGATTTGGACGTCAGCCAGAGCACAAGTCACTTGCACTTTTCCCTTCAGGGGAAAAAAACAGTCATTTGTGGTTTGCTGGTGGTGTTCTGGAGGCCAGCCAAATTACTTTTGAAAACCTTTTCACCTTGCAATTTTCAAGACATGTTCCCTTTATCTTTCTAAATAAGGACACATCGCATGTGAACAACAGGTGAACTGTGTCAGCTTGGGAACAGGTGCATTCAGAACCATCTGAGCTCATATCGACCTCTATCAATGATATGATCACTCTAAAAAATGCTGGGTTAAATATAACCCAGCGCTGGGTTAAAAAGGGACAAACCCAGCTATTGGGTTGTTTTGACCCAGCGGTTGGGTCAAAACAACCCAACTGCTGGGTAAAAACAACCCAAGCGCTGGGTCAAAACAACCCAATAGCTGGGTTTGTCCCTTTTTAACCCAGCGC